ATTTTGGCCAGATCTTAGAAACTGATTTAATCTGGAATTGGATAACAAACAAAAAAAAGAAAAAAAACACTTTTGAGGATGAATAAAGAGTTGAAGTACTTTGGAACTATGATCGAGTAAAATTCACCTTCAAATCATTGTGAAGATCGGGCTTGAGGAAGAATCAATTGAAGTTTGTTGGAAAGTTTGACATTAAGGGATGGAAAATGTCTTGTGACCACGACACACCAAGAAGACAACCATGTTTGTCAATGCTGGGATCGCGAAAAGATAACATGATTGGCATTCTCGAGGCTAGGAGGCCTTTTTTCCGCTACCCAAACACTATATATCCTTTGCCACCCCTTTGAGCATGTGTTATTTTCTTTTGCTACCCTCTTTTGGAATCAAGCTTAGAGTCGGAAAAAAATGAATGAAAAATGAAAAAAAAAGAGAAAAAAGAGAAAAAAGAAAAAAAAAAGAGTCCATGTTCCAAGAGTACAAACTAGGGCAATTCTTAGAAAGTTCAAGAAAATAAAATGAAGAAGAAAAGAATTGTCAAAGGTCTATGCCCTCAAAAAATAGAAGCTGGGGCAACTTGTTTTGAAAACAAAAAGATAGAAAAAAGAAAAAGAAAATAAAAATAAAACAGAAAGAAAAATGAAAAAAATTAGTTAGATCAGATGTTTGAACTACGTTCGACCTGATTCCTTAAAAAAAAGATACGTAGGCAGCCTCACGGTTCGGTCCAACCAAATAAGAATTCAAAAAAAAAAAAAGAGAAAAAAGAGAAAAATCCCAAAAAATCCCCAATAGCTGAAATTGGGGCAGATATTTTATTTCACTTTTGAAAGAGTCGATTCCAAGAGTTGTAAGTCTATAACCCCATCATTTTGAGTCTACTTTGAGCCTTCATACCGACCTTTCTTTCCAACCCTATCCAAAAACCTTCCCAATAAGACCTCTCGGTAAGCCTTCAAGAATATTAAGAGAAGCATGCAATGAGCAACGGTTGTCATGCGACATAGAACACTGTCAAGTTGCTCACCAAGAAAGAAGGAGAAAGAAAAAGAAAAGAAAAAGAAAAATGAGAGAGTCTTACTAGTGAAACCCCCCACGGGCACTGTAAGGCGAATGTAAGCAAAGATGAACAAATGAGAGAGACTTATTGGTGAAAACCCCTCGGGGCACCACTAGTCGAAAGTGAGTCGTGAAGATGATGCGAAAGATTGACACGAACAAGCCCGACTTCAAAGGTCATAAGAATGACAAAAGGGAAGATTGGATTAGTTTAATAGATCAGGCCGTTGAGTCCAAAATGCATGTCATGACCATTAAGACTAGTTATTGAAAAAAAAAAGAGAAAAAAGGAAGAAAAAACTCTTCCTTCTGTCCTTACGACAGGGGGCATTTCTTGTTAATATTCGTTTATTTGCATCATTGTGTCCTTCACTCTGAGTCAGTCCTTGTCAAAACAAGTAAGAAAAGATTTCAAAATCTGCTACCAGCTTTTCAGTTGCACAAAGTAAATTTGGCCAGCACAATCAATTGTTACAGTCAACATGCCTTAAGGATTCATGCAAAAGCTCCTCCCCAAGACTCTTGTCTGCCTACTTGGCACAATCAAAGATAACTTGTGATTCTCTCTGACAGACAAATTGTTCAAAAACCAGGAAGTCATTCAAAGATATCGGAAAATGTCACCTAAGGAAAGATCTCCAGTTGGGATAAGGTTGATTGAGCCATAAATACAAATGGTACTAAGTGTGAAACAATTAGGGTTGATGCAGAGCAAAAGTCTCTTGAAGCCGACTTAAGCTGATTGAGCAGAAGCCAAGCTGTGCAAGATTCAAGGCCACAAACCGACCACCATTTTCAAAACTGACAATTTTTTCTTTGTATGAAACAGGAACAAAGCGGTGCAAGGAAAGTGATTCAAAAAGAGAAAAAAAAAAGAAAAAAACAAAAAAAAACAAAAAAAAAGAGAAGAGAAAAGGACCTAGTCTGATGACTTTTCTCCTAGGATCAAAATCTTAGTCTGATGAATTTTTCTCCTAAGATAGAAGACCTAGTCTGATGAATTTTCTCCCAGGATAGATGTCTTAGTCTGATGAATTTTTCTCCTAAGATACAAAACCTAGTCTGATGAATTTTCTCCTAGGATAAACGTCTTAGTCTGATGAATCTTTCTCCTAAGATAACAAAAAGAGGACCTAGTCTGATGAACTTTCTCCAAAGATCAAAATCTTAGTCTGATGAATTTTTCTCCTAAGATAGAAGACCTGTCTGATGAATTTTCTCCTAGGATTAACGTCTTAGTCGGATGAATCTTTCTCCTAAGATACCAAAAAAAACAAAAAAAAAGAAGAGAAAAAGGACCTAGTCTGATGAATTTTCTCCTAGGATTAACGTCTTAGTCTGATGAATCTTTCTCCTAAGATAGAAAACCTAGTCTGACGAATTTTCTCCTTGTATATTTTGAAAAAAAAAAAGGAAGTCTGGATTTGAAAAAAAAAGGGTCAATTTTTAGTTTTCTTAAGTTATCAATGTTTAGTTTTCTTGAAATCAGGGGTACCACCTGGAGAATAGGGTCAGTCTTTACTTTAGTCAAGCTTAGTTTATAGTTTTCCCAGTTTATTCTTTAGTTTACTCTCATCATTGCATCAATAGTACAAGTGATTTATAATTTTGCTAACAACTCACAAATCTTCCTAGTGCAAACTGGGGCAGAAAAAATTTCTTTTATTTTGTCTGTTTGTTTGTAATATGGCGCCAAAGGGAAAGCAGTTTCAAAGGAAGATAGTTCAAGTTTCAAGGAAAAGTAGTTTCGAAGGAAGACAGTTCAAGTTTCAAGGGAAAACAGTTCAAGGTGCAAGGGAAAACAGTGTCAAGTAACAAGAGAAGACGGTTCAAGTTCAGCAATCAGGCGCCTGCCTGAAAAATAAGAGAATTCAACTCAGAATGCAATACAGGTCAGCAACAAAAGAAGCTTGCGTCAAGAATGCGAGTCAGCAGTCCGAGATGATCAACAGAAGTTAATCGCAATCCAGAATAAAAAAAAGAAAGACAAGAAGTGAATCCAAATGTAGAAGTTAATGAAAGATGTGAGCTGCTCAAGACATGGTTGAGGTCACAAGATCTGCATGTCCCGTCTTGATTTGAAAAGCTGAAGAAGATTGAACCAACACCTGCAGCTAACAAGCATCAAGATTCAGATCAGAGTCCGCATGAAGAACCAACCAAGACTCAAGATTAAGTTTCAGAAAAGTCATAGAGAGGAATCTTGTAACTCATAGCTGATATGTTTAGTTAGTCTTTTACATTTTTGATTTTGATGTAATAACGGGACTGCGGACCGGAACCTCGACGGCACCTCAATCGGCTCTCCACCTCGGCACACTCCATCATCTCACTCACATCTGAACTACACGTGGCCTGATTCCTTTATAGCCAAGGATATGTAGGCATCTCAGATACCAGGGCTCGGTTACATTTCCCTTTTCTCTTAGTTTTAGTCTCTCCAAATAAGGGTCGGGTCAAAAAACCTGTCTAGTCGTTCTTTGTCTGAAAATACTTCGTCTTTCCAGTCAAAGAGGGAAATCACATGCTTATAAGACGTATTTAGTATCATTGTCAAAGTAATTGTATTAGATTATTTTTATCCCTTCCGTTACTTTATCGTTCCCGTCGTAGGATCACTACCACGCCGGTGTAAATCCGGCGACCTCTCACCGGATACAGGTAAGTCCCCCCCCTCTGGTTCTCTATATCTTTCTCTTCTCATCCTTTTCTTCTCTCTCTTCCTCCATCCCCTCCTCTCCCTCTTCTAAACTGGTCAGATATGCCCCTACTTCCCGTCTCTTTCTCCTTTCTCTGTTTCTTCAGTTACCTCACTTCTAAGGTAAGCACATCAATAGTTCACACATTTTCACAACATTAAATCTCAAGAAAGTTACATCTATTGTAGAATATTGTAAGAACTTTTAATTTCTGCTCTTTTTGGCTGTTTTTTTAAATCTTTGTATGTATATAAATCTTGGGTTTCTTCCAATTTTTGTTTAATTTTGAAAAGAAGGTGCGGCCTATTTTAAAAGAATGTTTTTTTCCCTTTTCTTCCATTTTGTTCAAGATTCTTTGAATTTGTTAAAGCTCCAACGTGTTCAATCCTTATCCTTTTTTTCCAAGAATCGAATTGGGGTATCTGTTAAAACAACCAATGATTTGATTTTTATTTATTTATTCTTTTCATTGTGTGCAATTAAATTTTTGTTCCTTACCGTCCATATACTGTATAAACATTGTGTCTGTTGAAGCCTAGCTTCATTTCCCTTATTATTGTCAGGGCTACACCAGTGGTAGCGGTGACAACCCTTTTTGGTTTTTGGATCGGAGTATTTGCTGTATTTTTCAGGGAAATTCTCCAAGTTGTTAGAGACAAGTTGGGCCCACGAGCACTAGCAAAGAAGAGCAACCTGGACGAGCGTCAGCAAAGAGCGGTGGGTAGCGGTGAGTTAGCGTGCAACTACATCGAGTACAACAATTCAACACAGGTTTGGTCCTCGGGACTTGGTACCTCCCGTTCTACTGTTCCCCCTTTGGTGTTAGCTAAATTGTTGTTACTTTAGTTCGCAATAGTTCGATCATTCAACTAGTGTACTTGCAGTTACGTGTTTCCTCTAGTTTGACTCGTTGTCCGTTGAGCACTAGCGACTATTCTTTAGATTTGTCGTAGGAGTAGTAGCTGCAGTCGGGAATGATAGATTAAGGGCATGTCCGCGGATGGGGCAGAGTGGGGGGCCGGGTTCAGGGAGTGGGACGAGAGGCAGGGGAGGTATGGGGTCAAAGGAGCATATAGGTTGAGAATCGGGACATGGAACATAGGTTCGCTAACGAGTAAGTCTATAGAGTTGGCGAAGATCCTTCAGAAGAGGAAGATTAATATAGTGTGTGTCCAGGAGACTAGGTGGGTCGAAACGAGGGCGGTAAACGCGGATGGGTATAAGTTGTGGTACTCTGGAGTCATGGGGGGTAAGAATGGAGTGGGGATTCTGGTTGATAGCCATCTTAGAGAGTCGGTGGTAGAGGTCAGACGGGTGAATGATAGACTAATGACTATTAAATTGGTGGTGGGTGAGTGTACTTTAAATAATCTTAGTGTGTACGCGCCGCAAGTAGGCTTGGATGAGGAGATTAAAAGGCGCTTTTGGGAGGGGTTGGACGACATCGTTTGTAGTATTCCGCCTTCCGAGAGGTTATTCATAGGAGGAGATTTTAATGGTCATATTGGATCGTCTGCAGGTGGTTATACTGAGGTACATGGCGGCTTTGGTTTCGGGGAGCAAAATGGAGGGGGCACTTTGCTGTTGGACTTTGCCAAGGCATTCGATCTAGCGATTGCGAACTCAAGTTTTCCAAAGCGGGAGGAGTATTTGGTTACTTACCAAAACTCGGTAGCGAAGACTCAGATTTGACTATCTCCTCCTCAGAAGAGGTGATAGAAGGTGGTGCGTGGATTGCAAAGTTATCCCGGGTGAGACCCTTGCAACACAACATAGGCTTTTGGTGATGGACTTTGGCATTATGATAAGGAGGAAGAAGAGGTCAATACGAGGCCGCCCGAGGATTAGGTGGGGTGCCTTGACTAAGGATAAAGCTCAGGAGTTGGAAGGAAAGTTATCGGAAATGGGAGCCTGGAGAAGTAGTGGGGACGCAAACACTATGTGGTCGACGACGACAGACTGTATAAGGAAGGCGGCGAGAGATGTATTGGGGTTAGCTTCTGGCCGCGCCGGTGGCCATAAAGAAGACTGGTGGTGGAATGCAATTGTCCAAAGTAAAGTGGAAGCGAAGAAGGCAGCTTACCTGCGGTTAGTAGGGAGCACTGGCGAGGAGGAGAAGAGAGCGAATAGGGAGAGATATAAGGTAGCTAGAAAGGAGGCGAAAATGGCAGTAACGGAGGCTAAGACGGCAGCGTTTTCTCGTTTGTATGAGGAACTAGGAAACAAAGGCGGGGAGAAGAGGTTATTCCGACTCGCTAAGCTAAGAGAGAGGGCGTCACGGGATTTGGACCAGGTAAGGTGCATAAAAGATGAGGACGACAAAGTTTTGATGAGGGATGACCAGATTAAGAGGAGATGACATACCTACTTTCATAAACTTCTAAATGAAGAAGGGGATCAGGATATTATACTAGGAGGATTGAGGAACGCAGACATCCACCATGAATTAAGCTACTGTAGGGGCATTGAGGTCGATGAGGTCATCGAGGCAATGCGTAAGATGGGGGGGGG